CAATAACACCAAATAAAAGCTGCCTTTGGCGCCTCTGCTCTCATCAAGGCCTGCACACCATTGATTCTTCCACTCATGTTTGAGGCGCCATCATAACTTTGCCCCACTAGAAATTCAAGGGGTAAATTCATCGAGCCGAGTTTGGATATTATATTATGCTTAATATCGAGCCTGTGGTATTTCCCGTACAATATATGTCAATCAGTCTTTCAACAGGCTTCGGCGTCTCACTATTTTCAACATATCTTACTATCAAAGCTATTGCTTCTGATTTCGAATCAACTATGATTGAAAAGCACCCGTTAAATATAATCTCATTTTGAATTTTTTTTATAACCATATTTCTCATGGTTTCAATGAGAATATTTATGTTATTATATGATAATAGATTTGAATATAATTTCGTTTTTAATCCCTTATTTTTTTTATCCCTTTTTCTTTCTTCATTTTGTTGTATATACATTTTTAGTACAGGAATCTGCAATAAGCTTAATAAGGGCCATCATATTGTCTTCTTGTTGCCTGTTCCCCCAGAAGGCTTGGTTACGAGATATTAAATAATCTAAACATCTTATTATAATTCTTATGATAGAACGGTTAGTATCTACACATTCTTTCTGGGGTGTTAAAAATTTTAATATCTAATTTTTATTGTGAGAAAGCCTTCCATAATCGGCCATCATATGTGCCTGTGAAGATTCATGCAGAATAATATCACGATTAATATTCTGCTATTTATCTAGACCTTCACATGTCCATTTTGAATTTGTGTGTGGACCTCCAAATAAGAGACATGTTAAGCAAAAAACTTTATTCATTTTAATACTATAAGTAATCCAATTTCTAGCAATTTTGCTATTGTCAATATTAGTTTTTTCATAAAAGCTTTCATTAAAGGATCTGTTTCTATTATTAATATCTTTGGGGAATAAATAATGTGTAGGTTGAAGAGCTCCTAATTCTAGATATTTATCAATTATAAATTTGTCAATTCTTTTTCCAACAATATTGATGGGATCATTTGATTCCTAAGAAAAGAGAGGGAGGGAAGATAAGATATTTAAATTAAAATATGAATACTACTATCTATTCATATTATGCTTAAAAAAAATTAGAAAAATTTCCGTCAATATAGATTAAATTAAATATTAAGTTGGGGGGGGGGGTCTTATTATTACATTTATAAACCAGAAATAACTTGATCATGATGGATGTAACAAAACAGTAAAAGAATTAAATAATAAAGAAAATTTAAAAAAAAAGTTTTAAATTTTTTATTTTTTTTAATAAAAAGTATCCCCACTCAAATTTACTGAAGCAGTTGCTTCGGACCCCCCCCCCCCCGTTGTAGGGGCTACTGATGGTATCTACCTGTTCATATATATTTTCCGCCAAATCAATAACCTGAACCAAAATCTAAATTTGGTTTTTGTAAATTTCTACAAAGTAGTTAGCTAAAAATAATTTATTGATGCAACTAGCAGCAATGACAAACTCTGATTGATCAATTGAATTCATTAATGATATCGCTTCTGACGACACATTACTTTTTTTCATGCTCAGCCTTATTTAACTTTTATATTTCTATTTCTTCTGTTCTACAAAATGGAAGTAAAAATGAAAAATATTTAAAAAATTATAGATATATATTAATAATTAAAATATTATTAAAAATACTTATTAATTCTAACTCACTAATAATTTTGAATTAATAGAATAAATATATATAACAATAAAATAAATTATCATTTGATTTCAATCTCTTTGACTAAATATTTTTCCATTTTATTAATATTTTTGAATAATATGTTGGAAAATTGATATTCTAATATTTGTAAAATTTTGATTGGGGGGGGGGGTAAAATTTTTATTAGCTTAAAATGATATTTATGAAAACTGTCAAATTTGCGATGGGGGTGGGAATTCCCCCCCCCCCCTCATTGGTTACGCGCCTGGATAGAAGATATAATAAACTAACTTAAAATTTAAATGGTTCAATATGTGAAAATAACATAACTTATAAAAACAAGTGTCACATATATATATAATATTGTCATATCATTAATAAGACTATAAGTAAAAAATATATTAAAAAACATTATATACAGTTAAAATGACTAAAACTATAAAAAATTTAAAAATCATAATTTTTATATAATAAATTTTATTACCTTTGATATTACAGGAATTGATTGTAACTCTTTGGTAGTTTTATCAAATCTTGTATTACATCATTGACAAGTGTCACAGGAATTAATAAATTTGACTACATTATCTTTCATATTTGGCCACCAGAAGCTAAAATATAATATTAATTATGACAATAAATACATTTTACCTATCAGCCAATTTTTTATAAGTCTTGTTAATAGTGAAACTGCTTCGATATTAATATCACAGCCACTGTGAACTGTTTTAATAAGTTCATTTCTTCTATTAGCACTGGTAAAAACTTACTCAGAAATGTAAATACATTATAATAGAAGAATAAGTATTAAAATTACTCATTAAAATAGGCTAAAAAGAGTAATTTTAATACATGAGTGATTCTAGCACGTTACACCGGCCCGGCCCGGGTATATTTTTAAAATTTAAAATACGGCCCGGCCCTGGTACCCGGGCCCGGCTTAGGGCCGGGCCTGAAGGTCTCTGATATTAATATAATTAAATAGCATTTTAAAAATTCTATACGACGAGTCGTCGACATAAAAAAAATCGGCGGCGAGCCTGGTATGCCGCTCATCTCAATCAGTGACTTTTTCGGCGTGAATAAAATTTCCTGCAGGGCACAGGTCTAATATAGATTAAATTCTTAAGAATTATTGCAAATGAAAAACATATAACGTGTTTTAATAAAAGTGAAAAAATATAATTAATAAACATAAATTTATAATGAAATCCAATCTTCGTTGAGATTGAGTTTTTTTAAAAGTTTTATCACTTGATGTCAACTTTATATATATTAATAAGGGCTTACCCATTCAATCTGTTTTTAGAGGTAATGCTTCTCAGTAGTGTTGTTATTTGTGCCGATTTTAAAAAAGTTCAGCTCTATATTTTATCCAAAAAAATATTACGCAAGTCTGAAGAATTTGCTCTTAGACACAAAGGTTTGAACATCAGCAAAATCTCGAGGCTTGGGCAATATTATTTTGGCTAGAATATTGAGTTAGCCAAAAATAGGCTCAATTCGAGTCATTTAACAACACTATTTCTTAGATATGTTTTTATTCTTGTTAAAAAGAAAATGTTTATTCATTGGTAGAAGTACTAATGGGTGGAATTGCCAAAATATAATATAATAATTAGGGCTGTGCCGATCCACATATTTTTCCCTGATCTGATCCGATATTTTCTGATATTGCTTCAAAACCGATCCTATACTGATCCGATATTTATGCTGATTTTTCACCATCCCCCATTGAACCAAATGTAATTAAAAAATCAATATTTTTTATGCAAAAAATCGAATTATGCATTTAATTTAATTTTTTTATTTCTACAATTAAGACTAATTAAAAAAATATATATTTAATAATATATCCATTTTATGTTGGTATGAATTATAAAATTATAATATATTAGATTTTTTAAAATAAATATGAGAGCCTCTAGATTTCTGGCAATAAGCTTCTACGATATGACTATCTATATCCCCTGCCGTACTGAAGGCAGACTCAGATGATTTCTCAGATAACGCATTTTGCAAAATTATCTTTGTCTTTTGTAAAATATTTCCATAATTCAGATACCATATTTAAAAAGATTCTTTTATTTAAAGTATAAATAATAAAATTGACGTTATTATTTAAAAAGATCAAAAATAAATTAAATTTAATGGGTGTTGTGCATTTGCATTGTTTAAAAAAAAATTATTTAAAAAATATTATAATAATGTAAAATAAATACACATAACATAAAATAACATAAAAAAGAAAAGTAAAAAAATCGAATCGGGTTTTAGAGCTGTCAGCTCGATCCGATATTTTTGGAAAACGCTAAATATTGGTGTCGATTCGATCCGATATTTAATATCGGCACAGCCCTAATAATAAGTTTAATATATTAGAAAATAGTCTAAAATGTGTTTGAAATTAAGCAAGCTATAGAATTTTTTAGAACATTATCAACCATATTTAACCATTTATACCAAAGTTAGCATTCAGCTAGTAATGTATCATGAGGTACCTTAACATCCTTACAATATAAATCTGTCAAATATTTAATTTTTTCTCTATCAATATGAAATAGATATGGAAGGATTCTATGGTAATAATATATTTTCAGAATTGTAGGTGCTGTCTGATTGATTAAGAAACTTTCATTAATTTATGTTATAAAAGTATCCAAGAGGGTGAAAAAGTGATCTATTATAGAGTATTCTTTGACCGACTTTATATTAATATCGGAACGATGGGCTTTCTTTGCTGCGAGTCGAAGTTGACTAAATTCAGAGAGCTCTATTTTTCAAACAATGACATGTAATTTATGAAATTCGTCATCTAAATTTGTCATAATTTCCTTAAGTTTCAATATAAGACTTTCAGCTATTCTTATAGTCTCAATTAAATTTTAGTTATGCAGTTAAAAAGTTTCATGATTTGGTGGGAAATTTTATAAATAAAAAACACCAAGTAAAATTTGAAATTGATAAAATTCATAGAATAAATTAGTAGTATATTTATTTCTGCTGTGAATGTAATGAAATTGGAATATATATTCTATAAGAGGTAGATTTTTATAAAATATAAATTAATAATCATAAAACGTTAATATTTTTGAATTTTTTGGCTTTGCGGTAATTTGTTCCCTGCCATTCTCCCTTCTCTCACTGCATACCATCTGCGACTTACCATCTATTATGCACTAGCACGGCTATTTAGGTTTCCCCCAAACATTTATTTATAAAACACTTATTATTTTATACAAATCAGAAAAGTAAAAATGATTTACATTTTATATTAAAAAAATTAATTTATAATAATATGTATCTTTTTTAGACCAATTCATCTCTATCAATCCTAGAAAAAAGCAGAAGAAAAGTCTTATAAATAAAAACATTTCTAATTTACCAGACGATTGTACTATTCTTGATTCAAAAAGCAATGACGAAGAAATTACACAAATAAGGTAACATATCTTAATTTTAATCGAAGATAATTTATATTAACAAATATTTTTTTAGTTTTTAGATAAATGAATTTGATTTATATATTTTTTTGCTTGCATAATTTTCTTAACATTCTCTAAAAGCTTTTAAGACTTCATAAAACTTAGGAAAATAATTAAAAGGAAATAAAATCATATAATTTGCATATTAAGTGTCACTATTAATTGTTAATAACGAATATTGAAAAATTGAAATTTTAATTATTAACAGAAATATACACCAGAAAAACAAAAAACTAAAAACTTCAGATAATTCTGAATCTTTGAAATCAAGGAAGCGCCAGAATAAAACGGCATTGACAAACGAAGATAAACCTTTATCAAATATTAATATGTATGATACCGAAAAAAATCCGATAGAGGAGATATATCCGGAAAAATTGAAAAAAATTAAAAAGAAAAAAAATTGCTTAGCAGATCTAGAAATACCTAAGAAGATAGAAAAAAGAGAAATTAGCCAATTACAAAAGTCGTCAAATTTTTCTTCTAATGATAAATCAGCATCACCTGTCGACAAATTCAGACAACACCTGAAGGAATTGGTCCAAGAAGCATACGTCAACGAGATAAATATAGCGGCGGCTACAACGATCCAATCGATGGATTTGAATGAGCAGGAGAATAAACAATTAAGTCAGATGACTCTGAAAGAGAAAAAGCGGAAAAACAAGAAATCAAATAGGCTAGATGGGGATCATACGGACATTGGAACTATAAGGCCATCTAAAAAGAAGAAGCGTAATCAAAATGATGGGATTAATAATATTATCAATTCGGACGAAAAACATAGATCCTATGAAATTTTTAGGAAAGCAAATTTAAAAAATACTCACGAACCAATGATTAAAATGAGCGATGATACGAGCCCAGTTCCCGGTAACGAACCCATCCTTGACAGTTTTGGTAACAAAAAGTCTAAATATTTTCCAAATGATAATCACCAAAAAAAATTATCTCGTAAAATTAAATCAGAAAACGATAAGAACTCCGCAGCGCTAAGTCTTGTTACTTCAGAAGATACAGCTATCGAGATAGTCGATGCATGCCCCGTTAAGAATATTGAGACAAGCAAACCTTCTAAATATTCGAAAAAGGATCATATGCTTAAATCTGACGAACCAATGATAAAAAAGATTGATCGCTCAAGCAGAGTTCCTAGGAAAGAATCCATTCTTGATATGTCATTAGTTAAAAAGTCTAAAAATTTTCCGACTTCTAAAATAAGTGATGATAATTGCATGGCTGGCAAAAAGAATATATCAGACAACGATAAGAATTCCCAATCGCTAAGTTTTGTTCCTATCACCTTTGAAGCCATCAAGAAAATTGATGATGACGCTATAAATCGTAATAATGATCATATTAGGCATTGGAATAAGAATCGAAAATGTGAAAATACTGAAGAACATTTTAAATCTCCATTAAATACGATAGTCGAGGCAAATGATGTGAATAAAAGCAATATTAGACCTCTCGTTTTAGAAGAAAGCTCAAATCAAAATATTAGCAGGGTCAAATATCGCGTTAAAAATATTAACGAGTCTCTCAAACCTTATGAACATTCTAAAAAGGATGGCGTGCTTAAATTTATTAATAGGGTTACTCCAATAGATCTTGATAGCAATATTCAACATTGCTTACCAAGCCAAAACCCTCTACCCAATCACGACCAACAAGGAAAAATTATAATAGAAAGTGATGAGATAAATCAAAAACAAAATGCAAATTATGTCAAATCTCTCGATTTAAAGAAAAATTTAAATCGCGATCGACGCATATCAATAGACTCTCAGGCTAATTCCAAAAAATTCGTTAACGATGTTGTAATAAAGGCTTCTTTAATTATTTCCAATAAACGCAATGGCCTAAGTGCTTCCTCGAAGAAACATGAGGTGCACGATTACCATTCTTGCGGGAACAACAAATTACATGAATTATCCTTCAATTCTAAATGTAATATAACGAGCGATCGCCAAAATAATAAGGATTATAGGGATTTATCTTCGAATTCTTATTATAATCAATCGAGATCTGATCACCGTAATAATTTAAAACGTCTAGAAGGACATAGCGAAAAATTTAGGAACACCTCCAGTTTTAATAAGACACTCAAGCCTGACCAGAGCTGCCCCAGAAACATCGGCCTTAAAACTAATTATTCAGAACAACGCGATGGGTTTTATTTGGAATCAAATTCTAGCTTTAACAGTGAAACGAATAGATATGAAATTTTACAGCAATCTTTTAACATGCCACACCATTGTTCATCAAATGAAAGGTTGCGAAACAATTTGAATATTGCTGCACCTTATGCTAATAATAATATTTACGAGGATTATAATAATCGAAATAAATACCATGCGCCCTTGCCTAGTCGTCGTAATTTCGTTACTATGAACCAATGGCCAATCGAATCAGTAAATCAATATAGTGGTAATGATGTTCCTTTGCCTTCTAACATCAATCATTATAGTTATCCTTATCCCGATAATAATTTTCCTAAACCTCTAATATACAAAGGATTCCCTTTTAACAGCAATTTACAACCTGAAAGGTTTAGTTTTAATATATTATGTATATATTATTTTTAAACCTATAAAAATTATGTTTTATTATAGCAACCAAGTACCATTTATACCGAACTTTGGCGAACCGAATGGTCAAAATTACCACACAAATCATCATGATTATTTAAAATACGATAGAAATATTATAAACTAATTTTATCAACGAATATAACATGTAATATATTAAATAGAACACATTTTTGTTGAATAAAATATTCGTTTTTATTTTTAAAACCAGTGTGAAATGAAATAAGTTTATAACTACCAGGTTTTTCCGTCAAAAATGACAGAGAACTAATAAAAAAAAAGAATATGAGTTAGCTAAAATTAAATATGACAGGTGTTTATTTAATTATATTTTTAGTAATGATAGGTAGAACCATGCAAGTTTGCCCAGTCCGGCACTGGCCTAGAAATTAACAATTTTGATACGGGCTCAAGTTGAAATTAAAGCCGGGATTGGGTTATTTATAAATTAATTCTAAAAAATAAAATAGAATAATTAAAAATTTCCTGGGATTAGATCAAAACACTTAGTGATTTTTCTTTAATTATACTTGATAAAAGTGCGTTTAATTTATATTTTTCAATTGAAAATTTCAAGGCAACCTTGGGCCAAAAAAGAATTTACAGGTAATTCAGCGGATGTATCGATTATTATGAATTTATATGACGATATTGTATTTTAATAACCGTTTATATTATTTGATTCGTAATACAAATATTTTATTATAGCCTCTTGTTGAGTTGGGGTAATTTGGGCTTTAATTTTTATATTTGTTGTGAATTTTGCACCTTGTCGGACAGCATATTGTCTATGGGAATGTGTGACTCGAGTGATATATTAGAACCTCCCAGTACTGAGTTTGCAGGGATTTTAAATTTTTTTTAAAATAGAGATAAAATTTGAATATTTTATTCCTCCAAATTTTAGGATTATTCACAAAAACTTAAATACGGTAATGATAAATAATGAATTTTATGCATTTTAGATATGACAAAAGGAAAATAATGAATCCACTCTTAGAAGTCTGCAATGGGTATGTTTTAAAAATAATTATATTGGTTTATCTATTTATTTAATTTATATATATTTTTTGTAAATTTATAACTACTCATTTTGCTCGAAAGATATTTCCTTTACTATCCGCCCTCCTTTTGTTTTAAAAATATTACCCGCCCAAAATTTAAATTTTTAACCCGCCCACCCATGGAAGATTTTAAAACACACCCGTTATAAACCTCTATTTCAGATATTTAGTTTTTATTTAATATTATATAACTCCATATAAAATGGTACATTTATAGTTGTTATTTCTTCCCATAGCAAATAATTTATTATTCCAATGAAATTGAAATAAACGTTGGTTTGCCTTGTTCCGTCCAAAAATAGAATTTTAGAAAGTCTTATAAAGGAATAATAAATGGGCCTGTCCACGGTGAGTCAGATGTCCAGACAATGCCGACCCCAGCTTTTGTACCCATCGTAATTTGCCAGCCCCTGCTCTTAACAATTTCATTTGATAAAATCGATAAATTACGTATCCTATCTTGCATTATAGAGCGCTTAAATATTTTTAGAATAAGATTCAGTCTTGAAAAGTTTTCTTTACACAATGCATTAGCTGCAGTGTTCGGTATCGCATTAAGTTATAGGGTGTCAGTATTAAAATTGTAATGATTTGCAGTAAGGTTTAGTTATTGCCTAAAGAATCATTCTATTTAATATTCAAAAGTTATAAAATATCTGTAATGGATATCATTGTTTTTGAAAAATATGTGTTACAAATAAAAAGTTGTAAAATAATTTTTAACGTGCTTATGAATATAATTTTTCAGATATTATAAAAATGATATAATGAAAAATTATACACCCATATGTTCCAATTATTCGTTCATGTTGAACGTACTAAATATGTGATGAATTGAATTCAATGACAAATCAAAATGGGTTTCAACTCGGTCCACTCAGATGTTTCTAAAATTTTTACTATAGTTTGCATATATTATAACTAAGGAAAAAATAAAATTTGTCTCCAAGCAGCGGCTGAGATATGGGCCTCTAAAAGTCGAAAAAATGGGGCATTATGGGTAAAATTATCTCCCTTTAATTTTAAATATCTTTAGATATAATTGAGCTAGAGCGTCCTTATTTTTTTGTATAGCATAATGATAAGCCATTAACGTTAGTATATTGTTAAAAAAATTTAAATGATAAAACCCGAAAATGGTCATAAAATCAAATAGGCATTTTATCTCTAAAATTTTTTATATATATTTATATAGAACGAAATAATGAATTTGCAAAATTGTAATTGGCATTTTAATCATTTGTCAACTAAAATATCGCAATAAATATTTGATAAATCATAATTTTAATATATTTAAGTTAAATCTTTTAAATATCTGGTGTATTTAAATCAGGGACCTGTAGAGGTACCATAAACTTAGCCCGGTGTAGGATTATAAAATCAATGTCATCTAAAATTAATACGGTTTACAAAAGCGATGAAAACATCTCTTAAAAATCAATGCGGTATTGATTCTAGAATAACAAAATATCACAACGGTATTGAATCTACAATGATAATATCAATAAATTGAAACTACAATGGGTATTGATTTCACAATCCTACACCGGCTCAAATTTTTATTTAAAATATTTTCCACCCGGCCCATCCTTTATATTTTTAGGCCCGGTATATCCGGCTCGAATTTTTTTTTCAAAATATTTTTCGCTCCCAATTTTTATAGATAATAATGGCGATTTAAAATATTCGGCTCGGCCTGGCTATATTTAATAATTTTAATATTAACGATGAATGTGAAATCATTAAGCAATAGAAAAATAAATTTGAAACAACACATTCTCGAAATGAAAAATTCAAATATTGACGGCTTTATTATATTTTTGGACCTTAAAAACAAGAAGAATTTTCTATAACTGGATCCATGGCAAGGATAGAAAAAGATCAAAGAAAAGGGTGTTTTATCCAATCCAAATATTATAAAGGCTGGAAGTGATATTCGAGACTATTTTATAGATATTATTCAAAAATTTCAATATTCCAATTAAAAGAAGGGAATGATGCCTGACAAAAACCGAAAGAGAGAATCAATTAAAGAAGATAATTTATGCTATAATTATGGAATTATATAATAATTTTAAAGAAACTCATATTGTTATAAAAGTTAGCTTCAATAAATTTACAGATTTAAGACAAACTTAAATGATTGATTTTCTTAAAATCAAAATATATCAAAAATGTTTTTTTTCTGTCATGCAGTAATCAATACATTAATGAAATTCATAATCTATCATGAACTTGAATTTGGAATTAACAGAGCCATTTTTTTTGTAATATCACATGAATAAAATTAAATTTTATCTTTATTAAATTATAATATGATTTTGATTTTTTAATTATTTTTATAAGGAGAATTCAATTCATCAATAACTTAACCAAATTCCCCCTACCGCCCAAAAATTTATTTTTGGAAAATCCAAAATAACTATTCTTTTAAAATTAAATATAACATAAAATATTCGATAGCTTTTGATTTACATTACAATTTTTCATCAATATATCAAATATTTATCAATAATAATTGCAATAGATTAATGATTAAAATGCTATATCTTCTAAACTTCAGTTAAGTCCAACTTGAAAATTCGCTTATTTATTCATTAACCTTTATCAATATTTAAAAAAAATCGCGAGAAAGAAAATGCTGATTTGATTATATGACCATTTCCGGTTTTTGACTTAAATTTTGTTAAACAATATTTAACATTATATAATCTTAAAGGCTTGCCATTATGTTATATAAAAAATTTAAATGACGCTTCTACCTTAATTATATCCAAAGATGATTAAAATGAAAGGGAGAGAATATTACCTTAAATGTATCATTTTTTCGACCTTTAGAGGCCCGTATCCCAGCCGCTGCTTGGCTAAAATTTTAATTTTTCTCAGTTATAATTTATGAAAACTATATTAAAAAATCTGAGGGGGTCTAGGTTGAAATCGTGTTTTTTTATATGTCATGGAATTCACCATATATTTCATTAACATATTTATAAAATCATAATTTTGTAAAGAAAGATAAATTTCTGATATACATCTCATAAGATAGGCTCAATTTTTGATTTATCAATCTCAATAAACGGATATATTCTGATTCATCGCATCGAATAAAGGAAAATAATTTCATTTACCGTCATTCTTGACGGGCTATTAGCTATTATTTAATATACACATTTATCAAAATATATACGACTTATATATATCTTGTTAGATTGTTTAATTAATTGAATGATTTATTTTGTAAGTAATTCTTTTCTCACGAAGAATATAAATACTAGCTCTTTAAAATTTTAGCCTTTAAATATAATCAATTATTATGTTAATATATTTATCACTCAGTAATATTTTATAATATTATTATAAAGGAATACAATATGTTGACCCAGCAATATTTATCGTTAAGCTGGAGTCAAGCAGTCCACTCCGATCAACTATATATCATCATCCCTAAGAAAGAACTATCAAGCTGGCTTCAGAAATGATCTTTATTCTCAAACAGACGCTTTCCGAAAATACGATTTTTCATATATTATATAACAAAATTTTTAAGTCTTTATCCCATTCAAAATAGATAAAAAAAAACCAATTCGCAAAACACTAATTTTTGCAAACTATTATAAACATTGAATTTTACTGCATATTAAAAATTGGGTGTTGCTTAAAAAATTGCTATATATTGATAAATAAAGACAATTAGGGAAGTGCAAACCACAAAATGGCTTTACATCTAACTCTTATGTATATAAGTTTTTAATTAATTAATTTCCAAGTATATATACACGATATCTACAAGAACTAGTGGAGGGGTGGGGATAGGAAAGTTTGCATCCCATTTTTTTGAGGGAGGAGGGGGTCAGCATTTATAGGGGATAGGATAATTTTAATGGGGGGTTATCTATTAAATTTTTAAATAAAATAAGGCAAATGTATTGTTTTATAAATTAGTACTTCTATTATAGACGTATTTTAATAGAATGATATTGTTAATGATCGACCAAATCTATATTTTACACACAATCATAGACATTATTTTCCAAAAAAATTTCTGAAAATAATATGCTATCCCTTTAAATATAATTTACAAGGACGTAGGCATTTTATCAGTAAGCTCATATTCATGCCAAACCATATACTGTGATAATGCATTCATTATAAATGAGTAGGTTAATAATTTAATTCAAGTTCTAAAATTAGATTAACAAACTAGTTGCTGTAACATTTTCACTTGTTCTTAGAGTAGTGTCTTATTCTTTTTTATGAGTATGATTAGTATACGCGTTTGTTACTATTTAAAATTTTATAACACTATTATAAACTAAGGACCTAATCTAATACCTTCTAAAATAGTACCGTGACTATGTTAAACAAGTATGCACTTGATTTAAAGATAAAATTTATTATAAATTAATGAAATTTTTTTTAATTTATTTACATTCTGCTATTTAATTAATTTTCAAAACTATCAAAAATAATAAAATTTAAAAAAAATGTCTATTGCGTCTTTTGGTGTTTAATTTTTTTTTCTTGTGAACTAGTCCCCTCAAAGAGATTATCGTATATATAATGAATGAAAATAAGGTAATTTAGATCATGAATATCCATTTTTTATATTATTAATTTTAGATTAATAGTCAAAACTGGCAAAGAGGTACAAAGGTTTATGAAAAGAACGGTTTTGATACAAATAATACTAGCCTTAATTATAATGATAAAAGATGGAGTAACATCTTAAAATTTTTATTTGTTATTAATTATATTCATAGATAAACCGAATTACTACAATAATGAAAATATAAATAAAGGGTAATTTTATTTATTGAATAATAATATTTCATGATTACAGGTATAGAACTCCAAATTATACAAATATTCAATTTAATAACAATCCCCGGCCTCAGTATAATAAAAATTATCAAAATATATATAAACCTTATGATATTATCAATTCTATGAATGATTTAAATTTGAATCAACCCTATCCACAAAATAATAATATGTGGTATAGTAATAATTATAATAAAAATTATCAATATCCTTTTTATTATAATCATAATGGAGCTCCATCTTTGCCTAATAATAATCTTGAAAAACCTTTAAATGACTTGGAAAAAAACATGCTTGAATATAATAAATATGTCTTGAATTGCTATCAAAAGCAAAATGATACTAATGATGTAACCTTCAATAAAACTAATTTATATCCAAATGTAGCCTACGATAATCAACAAAATAATTTTAACAATACTTATAGTTTTAATAAACCAAATTACATAAAAAATCAAAGTATAAATAACAATTATACTAATTTTCAGAATTCTGTCAATAAATATAATGGTAATTATAAACAAGCACATAATAATTCTACAAATATTGGAAAAGGACAAAATATCTTGGGGTATTTAAAAGAATCAAGAGAATTGAAAAGTTTTTCAGATTGGATTGATCAATATAATACAAGTATCAAGGATTCTAATACAGAAAATAATTCTACAATATCTACCAACAAGGGAATAAATTTTGAAAAGTATAATAACATTCCTATTAAAACATTTGGTGATAATTGTCCAAGTCCTATTGAAAATGTATAATTATTTTATTTAATCATATATTAACTACATTATTTGTTATCTATAGTGGGAATCTTCAAATTTGAATCCAGTTATACTAGAAAATATATGCAGTTGTTCTTATGAAGATTTGACTCCTGTTCAAAAATATGCCATCAGTATAATATTGGAGAGTAGGGATCTGATGGCTTGTGCCCAGACAGGTTATATTTTAAAAAATTTGTTAAAAAAAATTACAATAGTATATATTTCCTTTATTTTTTAAAAATTTGTTTGTTAAAATTAGATTTTTAAGATATGATCATATCACAATACTAAGAAGTTAAATCATATTTTTTCTATAGCACAATTGGCTCAGTCATAAAAATTAGTCAATAACTTAAGACTAAAATCTGAGCCCTGATTAGCACATTTTCCTAGATTTTAATCTGAAACAGATTTAATAATAATTTTCAGAATCCCCTCACTCCCTAGTGAAATATAGATCACTTAAGGGTGCCTTTAAAATTTAACATGTGAGAGGGGACTCTACATATATCAATTTATTTCATCAAAATAACAATTTATAATTGGCTGATCGCACCTAAAACAGATATGCGCCAGGGGGTTGTTTCTAATTAAAATAGGAGTCTATATTATAAGTATACAATAGGTGAAATTTTTAACCTGCCTATCCATAGTTTGATCACATGTGAGAGGGTTAAAATTATTTTTAAATAGTAGGCAGGTGAATTTAAAATATTTTCTGGAAATGAACAGAACAATCTTATATTTATCAAAAAAATTTCATAACATAGTATTGCATATTTTGTAAGTTTAAGTAAAAATATATTAGAATAAAGAGGCAAACAAACCAAATATTTTAGAAAAATGGAGACAGTGGATGGGTTAAACAAATTTTTTAGATTAATAGGTAGGCTTTAGGTTAAAACCTGCCAATTGCATACCTATATTTATATCCACTTTTAATTTGAGCAAATTATATCTTCGGTATAGCTTTTTTTGACCACAATGCATATAATAAGCTTATTTTTGCATTCAGTATTTTGGTCCTTATGGAATATTTCACCCTCACCCAATTACTTCAAAAAGCCGATATCTATCCTTGAAGTCCTTTATTTTTTATTCAAGATATGGAATACAGAAGAAACCAACAAATATGTAATGAAACAAAAAATTGGAATTTTTATTTATTGGTTTTTAAACATTTTTTGTTTGTAATTTATGTTTTTGAATATTCCAAAAATTTTCATTGGTTTTTTTTAACAATTTTTTGGTTTGTTATTTATATTTTTGAATATTTTAAAATTAGCATTGGTATTACAAACATTTTTTGGTTTATAATTATGTTTTTGAATATTCCAAAAAATTGCTTGTAAGAGTTCTGTAATAATACCCATAGACCAAAAAGATAGTAACAAAAATTAAAAACATATTTTTATGTACAGAGGCCTGCTTTTTGCTCCAAATTAACAAAATATATATTTAACTTGAATCAGCCCAGTTTTTATTTTTTGCCCCTGCTCAACTTGGATTTAGATGATGATTACTATTTAATAGTCGGGAATGGGTCCTATATGGGAATGCCATTGTGTCCATTTTGACTATCCATTTACTTGTTAACCCTGATTGCAGAACACATATTATGATGTTTGCATTTAAAATATGGAAAAATACCAATTTAGATGAACCTAAAGCTGCTGAAAAGGGCTATTTGTCCAAACAAAAATAAATATTGCCAGAGATTGCATTAAAAATGGTTAATTTTTTTTATTAATCAAGCAAGATAATATTTAATACCACATATTATCTTACAAAAGCATCTTGCCTTATTTTAGATTTTAAAATGTTATCATTACAAGAGCACAATAGTTTAAGATATATCACATATTTTCATTATAGGTAATGCTATTTTATTAATTTAAAGCATTTGAATGCAGATTAAAATTGTAAATAAGATTATCAATTTGCAATTCTTATCGCTATCCTGGTAGATGAATCTACAACATATCAAAGAAACTAAACCTTTGTTATTTATGTAAAATTGTTTTTGGATCCACTATCCTATTCATATATTTCTAGACCTGATTGAATTGAAATTAAAAAGTGCAGAGAGGATTGTTCATACCATACTAGATTTTCTTAAATCTGCTGGGTTTTCTAAAATATTTTCGAAAAAATTGTATTTCTTTTGTTAGCGATGGTGTTAGTGAAATCTGGTATAACATGCCTTTGCAAATCAACTTTTAGATATGAATACACATTTTAAAAATCTAACAAATTCTAGCAAAAGTACAAAATTTAATGGGTTGCTCATTCAAATAGATATATAATGTATTTTATATATAATGCTTTGATATAAACTATAAAAATAAAAAGTTTCCTCAAATTCTTGGAAAAACAAAAATGCCCCCTACTATTTTTTTAGAATAATATCATGCACCCACCACAAATTTTAGAACTACAAAACTGATTTTAAGATTGCAAAGTAAGTTCCCACATCTTTGAACTTTGAGAGCCCACAATTCCATATCTATTTAGGATCGAGCTTTTAAATTTAACAACATATACATTGCCCATGCACTAAGGTTGGTCTTAGTCGATTTAATATGGAATCACCCATATATAAACATATCTACTGCATCGAGTAATAATAAGTAACAACTATTCCACAAAAATTGAGGACACTATAAATATTACTCTTTTATTTCAAATCATGATTTTATCCTGTTAATCACCACTTAGTATAACCTATAAGCACTCTTCGTGAAATTTTTAAAGATGCTTATAGAAATTCCATTTTCGCAACACGAGGATAGCTGCATCTAGGGTTTCTATTGCATTTGCTATAAAGTTGGCAAAAATCATGATTTATAAAAATGTACCCCAGAAGAAGCTATTGATTGAATATATACCAATTTTATTATATTCATCAACTATTTTATCACATAATTAAATTATCAATTTAAAATTTGCCAAATTTATTTTAATTTTAATACATTACAATTAAAATAGTTTATGACATTGTTTGATTATTTTAACTTAATTATTTTTATTTTATAAGAATCCAAAATTAATATTTTTATACCATAACTTATGTCATTTAAATATATTATAATGAACAGTTATAGTTTATATTCAATTCGATTGCAATTCTTTAAGTATATAAAATATTTTTATTATTAAATCACTTTTATATAATAAGTAATAACATTAATCTATATACATAATAAGTAATAAACAAATATATTATGAAATTTAAAATAAATAAAATAATATTTAACATTAATATATCGGAGATTTCTTTTTAGAAATACCAAAATTTTTCATTTATTAGAGGTCAGCCTGAGACGATGGTAACTTTCAATATAACCAGCTTCACTAAAAAGAGATTCGATAAACAAAATGCGCAAAAAAAATAACAATATGACAGAATGTTTATTAATTAATTATTATTATTAAAAAAATATACATAAAAATAGATTTCGATTTTTTTTTAAAAATAAATGATTTTAGATATAACTTTTTTTTGTTAAAAACGCCATTTTATATCGGATCAGGAAATTTTATAATATTGGCCGATAACTGATATTTTAAAATGGTTGAAATATCGGTCCGATCCGTTAAAAAATATCGATACATCCCTATCCACAATAAACAACCTCTCTCTGTTGTAATTTCCTCTCTCTTTTGGCTATACTCCTTTAAACATGCATTATAGTTTATTGGCCATCCTTCTTTTGTATACCTATATACTTTAGAGAGTACATCATCTATTATTTCTCTTTCAATTTCGCTTGCAATTAAAGGTGTTCATTCTCCCAGCTGTATTTGATCTAGTGTTTCTTCTTTTTATATTGGGGTTCCCTTTAGGTAATCGAGATAGCATGTCAGCATTGGCTAGTTGTCAACTACTTTTGAATTCTTCATATTGGTAACTTACTAATAATAAAGCTTATCTTTTTATTCTGGAAGTAGATGTTGTTAGTATATCTTGGATGAAATAAACTCTTTAATGACTTTGTGGTCTCTATGTAATATGAACTTTTTTCCATATATAAATTCTTTGAATTTTGTAACCCCAAATATGATGACAAGAGCTTCTCTCTATTTTTCCCGGTTATTATAATATCATCTAAATAACAAGCTACTCCTTCAGAACCTTTTAATAAATTCATAATGGATCCTTGAAATATGGCTGGAGAAGATTATATACCAAAAGGTAGTCTTATATATTTAAATAATCCTCTATGCATATTGTTTACAAGATTTTTGAGACTCTTCCCCCACTTTAATTTGAAAATAGGCATCTGAGAGATCCAATATTGAAAATTCCTCTTCTTTTCCCAAACTGGATAAATCTGGCATTGGATATGAATCAATATTAATATTTTGGTTTATAGTTCTTTTAAAATCCCCGCAAATTCGTAATGTTTTATCTTTCTTTTGAAAAATTACTATGTGATGCATAAAGTGAATGATTAATTTTTTCTATTACTCCTATTTTTAGCAATCTGTCTAAATCTTCTTCAACTTTATCTTATCTTTTAGTGTGTATGGTACGGGATGTGATTTACAGAAAATTGGTTTCTCGTTTTTCATATATATTTGTGCCTTAAATTCTTTCAATCAGACCAATTCTTTGGTAAATAATTGAGGAAATTCATTTTGTATATTAATGTTATTTATTTGTATGGTCCATTCAGGTATTTCAGTCATTTTGGGAAATTTAATTATCCAGTTTCTTCCAATGAGATTTTTGGTATATCCTTTTGTTATTATGAGAGGTAGTTCTAATGTTCGTCCTTTATATTGTACTTTTACTACAGTCTGACCTAATAGTGGTATATTGGTTCCTCTATGGGTCATTCCACGTCAAATGAGCAAAAAAATGAGATTTTCGGCCGACCCCCTTCGATTTTTTTAAAATTTGGTAAGCAAAGAAAGGTCGATGTAACTAAGAAATAGCCAAAATTTTAGCCTCCTAACATTTATATTTTTGAAGATATTAGGGTTCAAAGTGTCAAAAATGACGTATTTTTACCATTATCTGCCTTCATTCAATTAAGCATATCTTAAAAACTACATAATTGTAAATAACAAATTTAATATCAAAATTACGTACAAAGATTCTACTTTTAGATAAAAAAATTTTTTTATTTTTTTTCCCAATTTCCGGTCATTTTATTTAATATATAAGGAC